GAAGATGAGGCTTCGAAGTTTAAAGAGCTACTAATTAATTAAAAGAATTAAAACATCTAATAATATAGTATGATCCCACCTTGTTAATCAAATTAATAATTAATTTTATGTTAAACAAGAAAACAAGATTTTTGAATAGCTGCAGACTACAGTTTCCACGCTCTTCTCATTTTTCTTTCGGTTCTCCCCATTTTTATACAGTATATATATAATAAGTTTGAATCAAAAGAAAGATCCATGTGCATGACTTCCAAATGTTTTTCTTGTTACCAAACTTCCAAATGTTTCTTGGATGCTCTATAATTATATTTGATTCGATTATTCCTTTCATCACCAGAAGTTTTAAGCAAATCAAAATCAAATACTACTATGTATGTAATTGTATCTGAATTTCTCCAAAAAGAAGAAAGAAAAAATAAGTATCGACATCATCGCCGTGCAATTAAATTCCAAACTACGAAGAATACTGAAAATTCAGAAACTTGCGACGACCGAGACTTTTGTCGGACTAAGAGAGGAGGCTCAGACAAGTCAAACCGCAAGCCAAAATTGTCTGGCCTAAAAAACATAATCGTTAATAACACTCATAATCATATGACCACTTGTAAATGCTAGAGGAAAAAGCATAGGAAACCGTCACTTTTAGCATTTTTGATTGAAATAACGTAACAAAGCATTTTTTCTTTTTTCTTTGATGCTTTAAAGGGAAAAAAAGAAAACAGAAGAAAATAGCTGGAAAGTGCGCAAGGCCGATTCAAAAAGCTCCCTAATAGGCCCATTTTGACAATGCTAGATGAGATCTAAAAGAGATAAGATGACAAAAAACACATGCAACTTCAATGTCATGTCTCAAGATCACCCATGGATCCAAACATAAAGCAAAATATCAATAGCCCTACAGAGATTTGTCTTAAAACTTGTCTTAACAAAAGACTTAAAGCAATAGATTGTAATCTAGAGTCAATAAGTATCTGATAAAGCAGAAGCTAACACACAAGACTGAAAGAGTAGAGAGATACATGGCCGTGTAAATCACTGGCTTGGAGAACGGTCTCCATTACGTTCTCCGCGAGGGCTTGGGCTCCTGCTCTGCCTAGGGACGGGGCTGCGGCTCCTGGCTTGTTCAGGCGTGTAGCTCCTGTTTCTTCTCGGGCTCATGCTTCTCCTTGGGCTCCGGCTTTTGCTGTGGCTCTTCACCCTCCCAGGACTTCCACTGCGAACCCTTGAGCCATTGTGCGGTGGGGGTGGGGAGCGAGAGTATGACCTCTCCTTCTCGTATCGTCTATCCTGAGGTGAGACAGACCTGCCATAAAACACGAGAAATTGGTTTTTAATCCATCAGAGAACTGTAATGACATCTGACAGTAGAATCAGAAAGGCTTGAAAGCTAGTAGTTTACCTAGATTGATGTCTTTTAGGCGGAGGAGAATTATACTCACGGCTTCGTGATCGCGTCCTACCACCCCGGCGAGGGGGAGGAGAACGAGAGTACCGAGGAGGAGAACGTCTTCTGTCATTGAATCTGTTGCTCCTAACAAAATGCAATGTATACAAGTTGAGATCAACTTATCTCTTTGGGTTGTAGACAAACTCAAAATTCTCTGGTGTCCACCGTTACAGAAAATTTTCAAAGGGGAAGAATCTCAATTCACCTTCCACCTCGATCCCTTGTTCTCATTTCAGTTGGCTTCTTCCGGTTTTCTTCTGCAAATACCACAGTCAGCTCACGACCAAGAAGATGAAAACCATCCATGTGATGTTTTGCCTCAACAGCATCAGCAGGATCCACATATTGAATGAAACCAAATCCCCGTGGGTCTCTGCAAAAAATCCAATAAGCAGAAACAATTTCAGACTAGTAACCAAAAACACAATGACCAAGGAAGTTGTACCACCACTTAAATAGGAAACCGTTTGAGGAAAAAAGTTGCCATTACAATCTCCTGCAATGGAAGCCATCATGATAATGAAAAAAGCAAGCACTTGCCTGCAAATCTTGCAAGTTTCAGAATAAAGATGACTTCTCCAAGACTTGATATATCTTCAAATTGAATTCAAACCCAACTTCCTTCCAACCTTCACTATCATTTAGAACATCTTCCAAAGAACTCTAATTACTTCATTGGTCTCTTCAATTCTTTAGATTCACTGCTAAACCTTAACAATTTCAATAAACACACTTTTAAGTGTGATCGAACATGGAACATATCACTGTATTCTTTACCTATAATGACTAAACGAGGACGATGTCTTAGGGGTACTATAATTACTAAGGCTGAAAATCCAAGTGTAGATAAAAACCTTTCATAGCTCCAAAGGTGATTATGGGAAAAATGGACATAAAAAGGAGACATTTTTGAAAATTCTTATAAATCGAAGAATTCATGAGCTGGAAATGTGAAGATGTAGGAATGGCTACGGAGAGTAAAAGAATCGAAGACTAAGGATTCACAAAAAGTGGTTTACGAAGCAAAACAAGACCTTAAGATAAAGCCACAATCTAATTGAAGCAAAAAGTAATATAAATGCCTTGTGTGTTCAAACATTGAATGTCCTATCTACTGAGAATGCTCACCCAGTATAATAATCCCTTGGAAGGTAGATGTCCTTGAGAGGACCGAACTGCTCAAATTGCCTTCTAAGGTCTTCTTGCCTGGAGAAAAGAAAGTAGAGTAAGCAGAGAAGAACAATTTAATGACTCCTAAAAGTTAAGAAGAAACAGAGCAACCTATTATAAAGAAATCTGTAAACAAAAGTTCATAATTGCGCTATCAGGAAACATTACATTTTCAAGCTTCTTATATATTTCTGCCAAAAAAAGCTACAATATCTATAAATTTATGATACTTATTCATACATCAGTTTTTCTGAAAGCCTTTCACACGAGCTTTTGAATAGGTATATAAGGAATCATTAAACTTATGGACCGACGAAATCATTGCAAATATATATGGTCCAAAGTAGTAAGAATATACCTGCAATCATGACGGAGGTTGCGAACCAAAAGACTGGTTGGGAGATCCCTGTCACGACCCCCACCATATCGACCCCGGGGACTAGGGCTCCGGCCCCTCCTCCCATAGCCTCTTGGTGGTGATGGAGTGTAGCTTCTTCCCCTCATTGAATCTAGACTTCAATCTCTTTATCAAACAACCAACCATCAGAAACTTGGTCAGAAAATGTTCCAGATACGATTGGATGCTTAAGAAATAAAAGAAAAGTCCCGAAGCTAGCAAACAAGCATCAAGAAAACTTCAGAGAAGTAAGTATTAAAACCAAATTTGAATTCACCAATTCTAAGCCATAAAAAAAAACAATTACCAAATGTGGAATAACATATATATCAATAGCAATAGACCAATAGTGCAAAAAGGAAATGCTTTCTATGTTAATTTTGGTTTTTGGAATAAAGAACCGTTACATATCCTTACTCATCAAACACTAAAGCACAAGTTTGTTTCACTTGAATTACTTATAGATGCCTTAACAAAAAAAAAAAAAAGATCCATCCTTTCACCGAACTTTTCACCAAAATTACAAATCTGAGCTCAATTCGATAGATAGGATCCCGAAAATCAGATAGAAATTTGAACTTTTAAAGCTATCAGCAACCAAAATCTCCGATCTACTACGTTTTTGTTGTCAATCAACTATAAGAT